CGACTCGAGAGGCGTTCATGTCCACCTCCGAAAAACATAAATTAACGATTACTTCAGTGAAACTACGAAAATTGAAAATAATGCATCAAGCGAGGGAATCACTAAATAAATTCTCTAGCCCCCATACAGAATTTATTTTGTGATTTTCTCGTTTGTGAATACACAACAAAGGAATAAATAACAAAAACCTCAGAGACATTCCGGCCTCCGACATTTAACTAACATCTGATCGTTCTGTTGGAGCTACGCTCAAGGAAATGCCAACGAGGGCGGGGGCTATAGAATTTGTTTTGTGATTTCCTCACTTGATTTTCTGTTTTTATGCATTATTGTCAATTTTCGTAGTTTCATTGAAGTACTGTAATGTTAATTTACGTTTTTCGGAGGCGGTCATGAACGCCTCTCGAGTCGAAAGGAAGGAGTGTAGTTCTAACTAGTGGATGCATTGTAGATTGCGTTTTGTAATCCAGTGCGTCCAATATATGAAAAAAATTAAAAAATAGACCATTCATTGAAGGTGCGCCAATCCTGTGCACCTTTTAGTGTGGAAAATACGATATTTATTTATTTATCTATATATTTATTTATTTTAGGGGAGGGGGGGTTACGGTACTCTGATATTAGCATATAGCTGGTATTTTATTATCTTGTTGTGCAGTCATAGGTATGCTTGTGGATAATTTCATTCATCCACAGGTCATTTTATTCTCAGGGCATAGAATGAATTGCAGCTGGACTGCTCTGTTTGTCTCAGAAGACGATTCGCCGCTCATCCGAGGAGGCTTTCATCAGTTCGTGCAACAAGGCTTGGTTAGGACTGCACCGGTCGTAGGTATCCGTCAGTTGGAGTTGTCGCGTACATGTTATGAAAAGCTGTATCAGCAGTTTTACCGTTCATTTGTGGCCGCCATTATATGTAAGAACTAATTATGTTCGGGAAATAAGTGCTAAGGCCAACCAACTCCGGACAAGAAAGTAAAGAAAAATGAGTGTTTTGAGAATATCTGATCGTATTTGATATTGTCTCGAAGATGGACGATCCATTCGACTACAAAGTCAAGTCAATGCTTTGCTGTTTTGATTGGACTGTCGCACACTTCATGGCTAATTTTCAAGAGTCTTTTATGAGTGTGCTGCAGAGATAATTTCATGCACGTGGCGCCTTTTTCGAGAAAGCAAACTAATGTGCCAGATATCCAGCAGATAGTCGTGCTGACGGGAGGCTCGGCTTGTTGATTTAGGCTTAACACTCAGTCATCCCTGCTTTAATGCCCCTTTAGGCCGTCGAGTGTATTAGTGCCACTGAATTAACACTCAGAAGCTCTAACCCGAAACCGGCAAGCCCGCTACTCTGTGCCCAATTCTGCCCCCTTCCTGCAGGCCTTGCTGCACCAATATTTTGTATCCTGGATCTGTAAAAGTCACTTCCATTTGTCAGGCTTCTAGATATAATCTGATTACCCTGGATACAGTGCTGAGGGTCATCAGCCACCAGCCTGTTTCTCATTTAACTGCCTAATACTATTAGTCCAGATGATTATTCGACTGGTTGGATGTATTTGCCAAAAAGGGGAGAGGCGCTTCAACAGACAATATAGCAGACTCTCGCATGTCTCCAGTACTGACATCTATAGTTTGGTCCACAGGGGGATTCAAGCACTCCACTGCCCTGCTGAGTTCTCTAAAAGCATTTTGCTGGATGGCAACTTAAAAGTGTCAGTTCCCCATGAGTATTATATTTCAAATTGAAAATGTTTCTGGAAGTATCAGAGCCTGGCCACAGTTAGCAAGTTCCTTCACGTATATTTCTGATAAGAACATCAGCAGAAGGGCTCCAAATATGAATTCATTTCAACTTGTTTGATTTACGGGCGGCCCAGTGGTCCAGTGGTTAGCGCGTTAACCTCACAGTGGAGCGGTACCGGGTTCAATTCCGGCTCAGGCCTCCCTGTGTGGAGTTCGCATGTTCTCCCCGGGCCTGCGTGGGTTTTCTCCGGGTACTCCAGTTTCCTCCCACATTCCAAAAACATGCATGGCAGGCTGATTGTATACTCTAAATTGTCTCTAGGTGTGAGTGTGAGCGTGGATGCTTGTTTGTCTATTTGAGCCCTGCGATTGGCTGGCCACCGGTTCAGGGTGTCCCCCGGCGACTGCCCGAAGACGGCTGGGATAGGCTCCAGCACCCCCCCGCGACCCTTGTGAGGATAAGCGGATCAGAAAATGGTTGGACGGATGGATGGATGGATGATTTACCTTCATAACAGCCCTTCCAAAAAAGTGAGGAAAAAGTCAAGTGCTTCTTGGAAGATATCGCCAGCTCAGTAAAGGCTTCTTTTAATGGAGTCTTGTTCGTAAATGTGTCAATAAAGCGAGCACAAATGTGCCTATAAAATAATATTTATAGATTCACACACACACACACACACACACACACACACACACACACACACACACACACACACACACACACACACACACATACACACACTGCCAGCAAATCATGTCTCATAATCATATATTACATTAAAATACAACATTTTTGGTAGCTTTTATAGGAAGCTGCTTTAAAGTGCTTCCTTCTTTAATAAGTTTTTTTTTCTTTTTCCACTTCTGACTTTTGGAAAGCCGCCATTTCTCCAGCCCGTAGTTTGTGGATAGGTGTCTCCCAAAAATTGTCACTATGGGGCGTCAAGGCATCTGCTGTATATTACACAGCATGCCTTTATGTGCAGCCACTGAGGATCAAAACTGCTGGCTCTGTGCTTTTGGGAAAAATCTGGAAATATTAGGAAAAAGTGCTGTTCTGATCACTTGAAGTTACAGCTGAAATCACAGTCAATTTGTGATCTTCCATCCATCCATCCATTATCCGAGCCTCTTATTCTCACGAGGGTCGTGGTCGTGCCGGAGCCTATCCCAGCCATCTTCAGGCAGTAGGCGGGTTGCACCCTGAACTGGTTGCCAGCCAATCGCAGGTCCTGTGATTTTTAATGTTGCGTAAATGAAAAAGGCATGTTTTTCTTAGTAATTAGACACGCTTGGTTACAAAAGAAACAGTAAACAGTTTGAAAATCCACAAGTTCATCCACTGCTTTTGCAATAAGAAAGAAAACTCTTCCTTTGTGGCTCTTTTTCTTGAATGGTTTTGGACTTCGAACTGCTTCTGATACGGCGCCACCTCACTGCTGTGACTAAGACTTCAAGTCAAGTCAAGTCAACTTTATTGTCAAATGTGCTCTATGTGCAACATACAACACAGATGACATTTCTTTCTTCTCAACTACAGGAGGGAGAGGAGCCGCTGCGGGTACCCGCGCCTCCATCAACAGAACAGTTAACATAAAATGACAAAGTAATACAACATAACACATAAGACACAGACAGTCATGCAATCTTAACCACTTTTCTGCATACATTTTGTTGTTTGAAGCAGTTATCGATGAAAGAAGACAGAATCAAAGTCAATTGCAGTTAAAAATATTCACAAATATTAACCGAGTTGAAGGCAGCCAAAAATTAGGCACAGTCAACTTGCCTCCAGATTTTGCAGGCAGAAAAAAACCCCAAGTCAAAGCCATACTTGGTTTGTGTATCCATGCAGCAGCAACACAAACTGCATTACAGTGAATGAAACTCATTATACTCATCAGCGAATTAAAGCAGGAAGAAAAGCAATGACATAGTCCTGCGCACCCGATTACATTTTTACATTACACTGTAACCAAAAAAAAGCGCTACATATTTACGATTGAAATGCAAAACAATTGCACAGCTAAAAACTCAAACTGTACTGCTTTACAGAAACAGTCCTCGATGCCGAATGAAATACTTCTAAAAAACGGATTAGATGTCCTCTTTTCAATAACATCTTGAGTGTCAAAGAACATTTTAACACACGACTTAAAATATTCAAACCTACATTCCCGTGCGATGGTGTCTGATCATTTAAAATGTCCATCCCTCCTCTCCCAAATATATGTCAACAAGAATAAAAATCCAGCTTGCATCTTGATAGAGGTCCTGGACTTGTTTGAACTGTGCAACTTGCTCTCGGCATTGTTTCTTCTTCTCTGCTCAGACTGTTATGTAACTCCATCTTGGTTGTTCAGCACCCACAAAAGTGGGTGGGAGGGTGTTCGGGTCAAACACGGACAAGTACAATCAGAGTGAACGGCGGTCTCCAAGTGCCCCCTGCGCAGATCTGTGGTCTCCCGAGTCAACTTTATGTCATCCGCCTGCGGAGGTCTGCTCGCAGTTCCCTATATCTGTCCCGCATGGACTCCAGCGAATGAGTTTCTGCCATGTCAAAGACTGTGCGTCTCTCACGCACCAATTTTCAAAGGGATGAGAGGAGCCGCTACTGGCGGTGAATCAAGTCAGCAGCGTTCACGCCCATAACAGCCCACCATGCGCATTTTCAACTGCGTCAAATTTCATGCATCTGCAAAAATACCAAAATAAAGTCTAGCCCCTCACAGATTGAGATCACGCCTTGCCCCAGACGTTCACTTGTCATGAAAATAGAGCCCTCACTCTTAAATAGTGTAGGGTAGAAAGCTTTTGGGAAATTGCAATACATTCAAGTTCTGGCAACGTTGCCAGGCATCATTGCGCTTCTCTATCAAACATGACATTAAAGAAGTTCAAAATATTTAGAGCCTTTTTTCACAATTGTGTCCTACTAGGTGTTGATTTGAATTATTATTCCATCTTTATGTTTGAAGCCTGAGATGTGGCAAAAGGTCAAAGGGAGCAGATACTTTCGAAAGCCACTGTACAGTATTTGTGACTCATATTTCTTGAGGACTTTGGCATGGTATCATGTAAGTTTGAAGAGGGTAATATCGTGTAAATTACACTGCAAATGATCTCAATTGGGGATGAACTAGCCTTCTGTGGTACTGTTGCTCTTATGCCAGATACACGTTTAACATTAGCAAAATTTATTCGAAAGTGAAGCTTTACATCAATATTATTTCCTTTCCCTCTTTGTCCTTCAGGTCCTCGCTGGGCCTCATGGAATCTCGGGGTGTTCATGTGCATCCGCTGTGCCGGCATCCACCGCAACCTGGGCGTCCACATCTCCAGAGTCAAATCTGTCAATCTAGACCAGTGGACCCCAGAGCAGATTCAGGTACACACACAAACACATGAACACAGAATCCCCAAAACACAAGTGACACGCTTGAGACTCATCTGCCTTTAGGGAACCGACTACACAATTTAGCGCATTTTCTGTCCACAATAATAATAATAATAATAATAATAATGATAATTTTACACTAAATATAATATAGAATATATAATAAAGAAAAAAAACATGTAACACTGATGGGAATGTTGATGTGAAAATGAAATGAGTTTGTCTCTCTCACGAGCATGTCACACCGGTATAATCACACACTCGGCAAGGTGCATATGTATCTGAAGCTCACTTCATTTAATTGAATCTTTGTTATGAATACATCCAAGTGTTCGGCCCGGTGGTCGACTGGTTAGCGCGTCTGCCTCACAGTGCATAGGTGTTGGGTTTGATTCCCGCTCTGGCCTTCCTGTGTGGAGTTTGCATGTTCTCCTCATGCCTGCGAGGGTTTTCTCCGGGTACTCCCGTTTCCTCCCACGTTCCGAAAATATGCATGGCAGGCTGATTGAAGACTCTAAATTGTCCCTAGGTGTGAGTTTGAGTGCGAATGGTTGTTCGTTTCTGTGTACTCTGTGATTGGCTGGCAACCGGTTCAGGGTGTTCCCCGCATACTGCCCGACGACAGCTAGGAGAGGCTCCTGCGCACCCCGCGACTCTTGTGAGGATAAAGCGGATCAGAAAATGGATGGATGGATGGATGGATGGTTGGATGGTTTGTTTAGCAAATGCATGCCATGTGTGTGTGTGTGTGTGTGTGTGTGTGTGTGTGTGTGCGTGTGCGTGTGCGTGTGTGTGTGTGTGTGTGTGTGTGTACATGGTCCCTAACTATCTGCTGGGTCAGTGGAGAAAATCAGGTCTGAATGTTGATCGCCGCTCTCAGGGACTAATTAATCAATGCATCAATCAAACTTTATTTATTTAGCATTTTTCATCCATAAAAATGCAAATCAATGTGATGTGCAGTTAAAAAAATTACAACATAAAAAGAGGACTCCCCCCCACATAAACAGATATATATCCCCTCAAGCATACCTATGCTCACACACACACACACACACACAAACTTAACATGCACATATACCCCGATGACCCTGATATTCAAAAAAGACTTGACAAGGCACAGAGCTTTAACTATATGAGTTAAAAAAGCACCCAAGGGGACCTGAGCCAAGCTGAGTGACAGCAACCACACCTCCCAGCGTTAAGGCCCCACAAGAGAAAACACTGGCTCTTAAAAAAAAAAAAATCCAGATGCCTGATAATTCTGACGTGTTCTTGATCATCACCACACGTATCCCTGTCCCAATCTGGCCTTGATATATAGGGTCAATGTGTATTTTACTCTGTTTTGTTGTCTCTCTTATGAATAGCAGATCATTACTAATGTATTGTTTTCTCGCGTTTTCAGAGTATGGTGGACATGGGTAACGGTCGGGCCAAACAGCTGTATGAAGCCCACCTTCCAGAGAACTTCAGTCGGCCACAAACTGACCAGTATCCTCCTAATGCAAGCAGCTTTTGCTGGGTCTTGCACATTCAGCCATATGAAGTCAGTTACTGTATACCGCATACAGATCCTGTCCTTTGAGCATCCACTGCACATCCGAGAGTAAAAAGTCGCGACTGCTGAGGCATTAATGCACCGCGAGCTCAGACTGTGTATGACAACGTTACAAGTTTGCCCTTTTCTGCTTTACAAGATGAGACATTTGCGTGGTTAACACAGCAGCAAATCTTCATCATTCCATCAGCAGACCGAAATGAATAATTACACAGTTGGAAATGGCGCTTTAATAACGTATTTTTCATCTAGCAGGTTGGCGTGTGTGCCCCCATCATTCTTCACAGAGCAGTTACCATACCAGATCTGTATTGCAAGCAGCAAGTTCAAAAACGGCATTAGACGTTACAACTGGTGTTCTTTGTCTGATTGTGTTGGTTCTACCGAGGTGTGGAGAGAAGCCTGCGGATCTGCTGTTTCCAGATGACATGGTCTCCCTGTGACCTTCAGAGTTTGCTCCGATGTTTCACCGCTGACTGTTTAGCCGCGGGGATGAGTATCCGCACGTCCAAATCTGAGGTTCAAGGAAAAGGGTAGATGGAGCCCTCCGGTTTAGGAGTGAATCATGAGCGAAGTCATGTTTTATGAGGGGTGGAAAGTTGAAGTGTGAGATTTCATGGTGTTTGCAAAAAGACTTGAGCTTACAGGCAAAGTTCCCAATTTGATGGCCAAGCTGTGGGGTACTGAGCGAAGGGACAAGGTCACGGAAACAAGCTGCAGAAATTGGTTTCCGCTGCAGGGTGTCTGGGCTCACCCTCTGAGATATGGCGAGGAATTTGGTCATCCCGGAGGCACAGTGGGCGTGCTTACGCTTGCAGTTTGTTTCTGTGGTCTGGACCAAAGCGGGCAATCATACTTTTGGTCCTGATTCACATAGTATTCACAATGGCATGGGTGAAAGTTGTTCTTTGAAAAGCTTATGGATAAAGTCTTTGTTCAATTCGGCAGCACTTGGAATGAAAGATGGGATGAAAGCCAAACTCAGTGCTGCGTTTAGTGCTGAGTGCGGCAGTGCCGGGCAGCTCGGTGACGTACACTCCTTTGATTTGTGTTTGTATTGCTTTTTAGATATCGCCTATCCGGTGTTCTTTCTTTGCACACGCATACAGAAAATACTGTCAGGCGCTTGGAATTCTAACGCCTCGAGGGACTTGTAGTTTTGCACAGTCATATGAACACTGCTATATGTCTGTGCAGCATTTAGACTTCAGTCGAACTGCACCAATTTTTTTGGAACAAGACCATATTCTATATTCTTGATGTGGTGTTTGCTAAGCACCACGGTTTGGACGGGAACATTCACATATACTCATTCGACCCCCCCCCCCCTTTTTAGAGTAATTGCACCAGAGTTCATTTTAACTGATCAAACCTGTGAAGTGTGAGCACACCCTCAGAGCCGCGCTGCTCCTCCACATCGAGAGGAGCCAATTGAAGTGATTTGAGCATCTGTTACGAATGCACCATGGGGCATATCCTCCCGTGCGCATGAGTCCGAAAAGCTGCAAACTTTTTTGGCTGCACAGATCCTCCCATCAACTTGAGCGTGCCACTTAATAACCATCTTCTTAGGATTACCCACAATGCTTTGCCATCAGGAGCAGTTGGCCCCTTCTGCTTACTTGGCGCCATGATGTGCGGTGAGGTTCATGGATGGTGAGGCATTGACTCCTCTGGAGTCAGATATGAACATTTCAATCAAAAATAGAATATTAGCCTTGTTTTTAAAGATTTGAATCATGCTTTACTCAATTTCACACTGTTCAACAATATGGTAGCAAGAAGAGCAAAAAAAAAAGAAAAAAAGAAAAGAAAAAAATCAAAAACATTCAATATAAGGTCAAGTTCATAGTTGTTTTTTTTTAACTATTTATTTTTTGCTGATCTATTTTTTTAAAATAAAATACATTTCGGTCATTATATTTAATATGTTGTAAAGTCCCCAGTTATAAAATTACCCACTTCTCTGGTATCATAACTGCAAGGCCGATGTTTCTAACTAACCAATCATGTCAAAATCAGTAAATAATTTAACAAGGTATGATGAATTTATTGGAGCCAAACACATTCACCTCAATACAAGTGAATGGAAAATATCGCCAGAGAACTCCAGGTGAAAGATGGTGGCTCGGTCTGCACGTCCTCAACCAGCAGAGGCCTCCTCTAGTCTCGTGTTTTTTTGTGTTTTTAGGAAGAGAATTGCACTTCTTCCATGCATTGCGCCAACGCTTCGCTGGCCAAACAGAAAGTCCACATTTTTGTTTTGTATGACCAAATTCATATTTTTGATCCCTCCAACACTTTACATGCCAACAACGCCAAGGGCTCTCTTTGCATGAAATGAGGAGCACTTCAGTTTGGCATTGGCGCTTGAAGCCCTCAGTGGATACTCATATTGCCAGAGGCTCTGGAAAATAAATCAATTTTAAATCCAACCCCTCACTCCCTTGGAAAACAATGGCTACACACGACTGGCTTTACCCTTCAATGTCAGGAACTCACTGGAGAGGATAATAATTAATGAGCTTCACTTTGTGAGGAGTTCGGGCCATATTTGCCCAACATTTACAATTGGATGCTCAGATCTGTGCTTTAAAAGTTCTGCCGCTAATATCAGACTGATTGTTAATTTTTGGTATCTTCCCTCAGTAGTTCTTTGAACATTCACATTGACCAACATCAAAGGCACCCGAGGTTTCATTATCATACTCAAGTATACTGTACATTTTTAGTATATTCGCCTGAACTACATCTTACATAAAATGTTGATCACCTACAGTACGTGGTAGAAAAATTTGAGATTTTTTTTCAGTGTTGAATTTCATATTAATTTATTGATTGTATCCAACTAAGCAAGACTTCCAGTCCTGAACTGAAATTGTCAGGTCTGTGGAGGTATTTATCCGTGACAAATATGAAAGGAAAAAATACTATGACAAGGAGTCCGTGGCTACAGCTTTGGTGAGTATAGATCTTAATTTTTATCACTGTTGACAAATCTTTTTACAGCTGCCATGAGGTGAACCCACACTAGGATGCAACATGCATATTGCAATATGTGTACTACCGGAGACAAATTCCTTGTGTGTTCTAAATACTTGGCCAATAAAGATGATTCTGATTCTGATATCTGCCCCAAATTCCAAATCGTTAAATGCGAAACAACACCTTCTTATGGAATAACTTCCAAGTGTTGTACACGCATGTAATTTCTACACATATCCAAATACCGTATTTTCCGCACTATAAGGCACACCTAAAAGCATTCAATTTTCCCAAAAGTCGACAGTGCGCCCTATAATCCGATGCGCCTTATGGATGGTGTTAAAGTCTCTTTATATTCCCCATTGAGTTGTTTCCCTGTTAGTGTTCCGATGTCATCGAATGGTGATTATTAGCAGGAACCAATTGTAACGTAAAAGGGTTCTGCCCGACACTAATTGACATGTGCATTCGCCAACACACCCTCAAGCAAACAGACTGCTACTTTGTGAGCTCTGCGCAGCCATTATGATATGACGAGAATACCAAAACCAAAGTTAACTGTTGACTATACGAAGGAAGAAGGAGACAAGCAAGACTTCTCAGGATATTTAGCCCCTTGTGGATGCGAGGCCATGAGGTTTGTGTGCCTTTTTGTTGAATCAATTGTTTTCATAACTTTGTCTTTCATTTGTTTTGTAATGCCATTTGTTTTTATATGTTTCAAGTCCATGTTTGTTTATTACAGCTACAGCAGTTATGAAGACTCTATATAAATAAAGCTGTATTGTATTTTATTGTATTCCCTTTAGCGTAGCCCCATCAAGTGGATGCATAGCGCAACCGTGGCCACTATTGTAGCTTTGATTCTATGTGCCTTATAATGGCTTGCGCCCTACATAAAAACTGTTTTAAAATAGACCAATCATTGAAGGTGTCCCTAATAATCCGAAGTGCCTTATAGTGTGTAAAATAGGGTAAATAAGTCACTGTCCCATTACTTCAATGTGAAAAATCTAAATGTACTTTAATGACAAAAAAAGTAAAAGTCAACATATTTTGTATTTTGTACATAGGCCTACAGCAAAGTTGTCATCGTTTATGATTACACTGCCATGTATGACAATCCCGGCAGTTTAAGTTGATATTTGATGGCATTTTCCTTGAAGTGACTTGCGTGGGGCTCTTGGTTGACTTCCAGAATCCTGTCACTCATCCCGACTTTCAAGCTTTTCTTTTTACAAGACACAGACCTCCCCCTTGCCATGCGTGCATGATCAAAGCTGTTTTGTATGTGTTGCTTTAGAGCAGCTTTTACAAGTGTCTTGGCATAAAGGTCTTTTGATGCATGTTTGTTGCAAGAAATTCATGTCTGTAAAGTCTGTATGTGTCCCCTTCATGAGATGAATCAAATATACAGTGTCAGGCAAAATGATCTGACACATTTGTCGGTTAAAGAAAAGGCAAATAAAGTAAAGAAACAAAAAAGTGTTTTAATTTTCGAAAAGTACATATAATGCCATTCTGTTTCATTGTTTTAAAAATTAAGTGGAGTTCTGGCGGTGCTTAATTTTTAACCAACAAATGTGTCAGATCATTTTACCTGACCCTGTATTTGGGGACATTTAAAAAGTGGCCGAGAAGCATGTTCTGCATTCAAATTAACAGTCGAACGCTATCCTATACACCCAAGATGGTGAGCACAAATAAACAAACAAATAAAGAAAGAAAAAATACAAAGCGTAAGTGACGAAAAGTGCAGGCGACATATAAATGGCCTGTTTGTTGAACATCAGACCAGCTCTGCCGCCAGAACCAGCGTCAATTGTGTACTGAACGTCAAATCACCTACTCTGTGTGTGCCAGCCTGTATGCGTGTGTATGCGTTTACTGACTTGTTAAAAATGAATGTCATTGTTTATATGGCTGTAAAAGTGTGTTTATGTGTATTTATGTGAGGTCATTCAGATGGGGGATGTATTCGTGGTGGCAACTGCCTGATTTGCTCGCACTTTTAATAGCACTTCTGACAAATTACGCAGCTCATGCTGTCGTCCCCTCTCTCATGCACACGCTTGCCACTTTCCTGAATTCATTTTGGGTTACATAACCTTTCACCTTTGAAAAGCCACCGACAGGCTTTCACACACAAGCACAGGCAAAAAAAAAAAAAAAAAAAAGTAACCCTTTCATTCATGAATTAGGATAACCTACATCAGGATTTAAAAGATTTTTTTTAAGATTCTTTCATACAGGAGAAAGCAGCTTTTGAATAGGTGTCCACTATAGTGACTGTCCACCCACCTTCACTCCTCTGCTGAGTACCAAAAACAAAGTTAGCGGCATAAATTGGAGCAGGGTGCCACGAGCGCTCAACCCGCACGCTATCACACTACAAGGAAGCTGCACACGAACGATCGATCAAAGTGCTTCTAAAAAAAGAAATTAAAGAATTAAAATATGAATCCTTCATATCGTTAAATTTCTTTACATTCAAATAATCTGGCCAGTGATTCCTTTTCATCCTGTCTTCATTTGATCTCTAAATATATTTTCCTCACGTTGTGTTTTCTGTTTTGTTCCCTTCATTCCTCACATCTGAGATTTCTCACATTTTGCATCTCTCTGTTTTTCTTCAGCTCTCTGTTAAGCACTGCCAGAAGCTTGACTGTGATCTCGGATCTGTTTCTGCCACCCACTTATATGCCTGGCTTTTATATGCAAATTAATTATTAAAAACAAGCCATTATCACTTTAAGCACTAGGGTGTAGATGTAGGGGTGGGGGGGGGGGCAGAGGAGAGGCAGACTGGAATAACCCCCAGCCGGTTTTTGCTGTGGAGCGAAAGATTTCTTTCATAAGTGAAACAATTTGTGCAAGCTTGTCTTTTCAGCGGCAACACGCTCCTGCTTCTGAATTGGTTAGCAGTACCCAGGCTTTGAATGTAACCCTGGATATTCTCCGTGTTGTATGGGAAGGAACATTTTTAACTTGTTAAAGCAGACTTTTGTTAAAATAGAAATATTGATTCGATATGACCTATGATATAGTAACATATAGTACAATCTATAGCATTGCAATAAGTCAACTCTAAGTGGAGCCTATCGGCTTCCTGTTTATCTTCATTTGTTTGTCTAATGAATTTTTAAAATCAATTTTACTCACTAAAGGAGGTTGAAATCCTTGCTGTTATTAATTTATTCTTCAAAAGAATCTTCCAGGTACTTCATTAGTTGTTGTTTTTAGTATTTGCTTGTCCCATTTGGGGTCATGACAGCAAGTCACTCGCATAATTACTTGGACAAAGTTTTTACACCAGTTGCTGCTAGTGATGCTATTAATCCATCCATTCATTCATTCATTCGTACTTTGGCTATCGTGGCACTAGCCAGGAATCAAATTCGTGCCATCTGCTCAAAGGGCAGCAGCATGCACCACTACACTACCAGTGCAACATTACTCTTTATTAGAGTTTTGGAAATTTGACTTGGGTCTTGTTACCTCACAGTGTTAGGGATAGTCACTGATGTCAAAGGAGGTTTAGTGTTCAATAGTTTCCTCACGGCAGCGCTATCCAAATGAACTCTATTAAGATGGAGGTGCTAACAAGGGTCTGATTTACGTATCCAAACAATTTAGATTTGACGGCACACTCACGTTCAATGAGCGAGGCTGCCCTGAGTTGGATACTAATGTTGTGCTGAAGAGGCTTGGGTCACTGGGAGTTTAGTTGGAGAATTTCATGCTTTTAAAATTCTCACGGCAAATACATACTTTCACAGCATACTAAGAGAATGTGAGGCAATTGAACAAATACACACATCTCAAAAGAAACCGTCATTCGCAACAGCTTCGTAATGTTCGTTACTATATTAATAATCAGGGTTGGGAGGGTTACTTTTCGAATGTATTCCTATCGATACAGTTACTACTTATATGTTTAAAAAAAAGTAGCTTGTAACTTAATCCGGGTACCATAATATTAAAGTAATGTCATGTGATTATTCTTAGTTACTTTTGGATTATGCCAAAAACAAATATGCTAATGAGAACACATAAATGAACAACTAAAAATATTGCTAAAATATATATTGGTAAACAAGTGTACCCGTTATTTGTGGGGGATAAGGATCCGGCTGTCCCTCAAACAGTGAAAATCTTAATGCCCATTTATATGCATATTTAAAATATAAAGATCCATAGATGGTTTTATATGTGTGTGTGTGTGTGTGTGTGTGACACACACACACACACACACACACACACAGTATGCGTGTGTGTGTGTGTGTGTGTGTGTGTGCAAAATATCTCCCCATTTCAGATTTATTTATTTTTTTCTTGCAGAAGTCAGGTGAAGGTGCTCCTCACTCCAACTCACCATCCTTCCAGGCTGACAGGAGCAAACAGGAGGTACAGTTTTTCCTTGTGTTAAAGTGGTGTGGTGCAGCTTGTGGCAATCTGCTCTCATAACAACTGTACTGCAATACGACAGTACTTTGGTGTTTTTGTTGATATTATGATATTGTTAACTGGGATCATACACACCTTTCACTAATTCTATCTGCAACTCTAAGACAAATTTGGGGCCCGTTTGTGAGTAATACGAAAGATCAAGTCCCTGAGGTCGTGCAATTCACATTGACCAAACATCAGCATACCGCACAACACTTGTGCATGAAAACATCATTCCGACAGTATCAAATAGGGCGAGGCAATTAATAAAAATTTAGTTTTTGTCTTCTCTCGATCTTAAAAATATAATCAAAGAAAAACTATTCATGTGCCAAACAGTGCTGTGTGCTTGCAAGTTCCCAAAAACATTGTGAAGCTACCCTGAATGCATCATGTTACTTGTACAGCAAGCGAATGACGTTATGTTATTCTGCCGATGGAATACGATACTAACTACATATTTTTAAAACTGAGGAAGCGGAGCTCCCTCCCCTGACTTAGGGCAATAAACACAAAAAATAACAAACTTAATTATGAAGAACACTTTGATTTTTGAGTCTTTATAGTAATATAAAATGGTGCATTAATGAACACGTTTTATTTTTATGTTTCGAAGTTCTTAGCTTTTGGGTTCAAATCACAGCACTGGTCTTCCTGTGTGGAGCTTTGAATCTTTTTTTTTTTTCTTTTTTTAATCGTAATTGCCCTGCAATTGGCTGGCGGCCAGTCTGAAGTATAAATCAGCTGAATTAGGCTCCAGTTCACAGGTGACCCAAATGAGTATCAGCAGTAGTGAAGAGTGATGGTTGTTTTTCTCATTTTCACCTACTACTTGAGTATTTCACAGTGAAACTTGTGGTTTGTTTAATTTACAGCAGTACCTTTCTCGAGGTTCATTTTGGGATGGCACCCAATTTATTTTCATTTTGCAGTCTCGGTTGTAGGTGACTGGTACAAAAGGCCACATTTTATGACTAAATACATCACTTCAACATGCCACTATAAAGTTTGGCACGCTAAATACAACGCGACTTTAGTTTCTTGTGTGTCTCGAGAATTGTAGTGTATCACATTCATTTTATTTATGCCATTTTTTGGGTTGACATTGTGTCACATTGGTAATGATGTCATACTCATTCATTTTATTTATGGCATTTTTTGGGTTGACATTGTGTGACATTGGTAATGATGTCATATACAGTGACTCACTAAGCGATGAACCTCTTGTCTCCATGGCCCTAATGTGGCACACTGAACAGGATCATGCCGCTTGCTATACAGTCTTCTAGACCCAAATGCAAGGCAATGGTCAGCAACAGGAATGAAGGAAACAAAAAAATATGTAACCCAATGAGGGAAGGCATTCGCCAGAAAATCCATACCGATTGCTTTACCAGCGATTGAGTCTGGTCATAGTCTCATCAAGCACATTTCCGAGGCAGGGTAACCCTGACTAAATAGACAGCGAAATGAACCAATTGGCAAAGAGTTGAAATGGGTGTTTCCAGTGGCGTCAGCTACTTGGGTTTTAATGACTCTGTGTTTCCGCTTATTTAAAACTGAATTAACGCTTTCATACACCCTGTCACCTGATAACATGGTAAGCTCTCCACTGTTGTAACTGAAAGCGTTATTGATGAATATTGTTAACAAACTATCATCTCTCCTGCGCAACATTTTGAATGAGGATGGCCTTCTGCCACCGAAGAATCACGTTGGGCACGAAGGATACGTCACAGCAAATAAACACGTTTGATTGGACGCCTTGTTTTGAGGGCGGCCCGGTGGTCCAGTGGTTAGCGCGTCGTTTGCATGTTCTCCCCGGGCCTGCGTGGGTTTCCTCCGGGTAATCTGGATTCCTCCCACATTCCAAAAACATGCATGGCAGGCTGATTGAACACTCTAAATTGTCCCTAGACATGAATGTGAGCGCGGATGGTTTTTCGTCTCTGTGTGCCCTGCGATTGGCTGGCATCCATTTTCAGGGTGTCCCCCGCCTACTGCCCGAAGACAGCTGGGATAGCTCCAGCACACCCCGCCACCCTTGTGAGGATAAGGCAGATCTGAAAATGGATGGATGGATGGCCTTGTTTTGAACTAGGGCCCAGCCACGGTGGAGGGCAGGCTTTCTAGACACTCTTTCTTCGTGGGTGTGGCTTGCCTGGCTAGGAAGGCATACAAGTAATGAGGAAATAAAATCAAATGATATTACAAATGCCGAACAAACTGGTAAACAAAAAACAAAATGGAGACAAAGTAGTCTCAGAATGACAATAATCACCAAAATGAAAGATGACGGGCTTGAGAAGCAGGCAATCAAATGAATGGCCATGATTACGAGACCTAGTGAAAAGTAATATACAAAGAATGAGGAAGAGGAGCAGAGACATTAAATGCAGGCCAAAGACCAAACTGTGCCACGAAACCAGTGTACTAGTTGTTGAAGGGATGAAAAAAAGGAGTCTGTTATGAATGGATCTTACATCACCTGCTGGGCTGCCGGTCCCAGAAGCCTGTAAAATAGTGTTCTTCACATTCATCAACAGCTACTGCGAAAATACACTCACAATTATATGTTTCAAACACCCACTTTTTAAAAATAACTAGTTCAGTGCTGGAGATTTTAAGGATTACAGCCTGGATCCAAACATTTCACTGTGTCAGCGTAGTCTCTAAAGCATTTTTGTATCAGAACAATATTTCACTGCACCAAGAAAATGTGGCATCAAAGCAAAAGAAAGGAGAGCTCCACATAAGAGGTCTTGACGATTTGTTGAAAAATCAGTGTCACTTTGCAAGGACTGATGGTTACTTCCAATTGAATGAAACCCCTCTATGGAAAAGAGTATGTTAAACCTGATACATTTACTGTTGTGCACATTGAGAGTTTAGAGCAGTGGTTCTTAACCTTGTAAGAGGTACCGAACCCAACCAGTTCATATTCGCATCCATGAACCCTTAGTGAAAAATAAAAATATGAATCGAGAAGTGTTCCTTTAGTTTTGCCTGTGTGAGATGAGAGTTGCTCAACTTGCCATGACAAATCATGCAGGTAGCACGCTGAGTCCCATCGTGTTCCGTGATGCATGTTGTACATGTACATGTACATGATGCATGTCGTCTGACCACCTTCTTTTTTTGCTCGACATAGAATGTGTTTAAAAGTTGTTTTTTTTTCACACAACGTACTATCACGACAGTCACGCTGACTACTGAGCGAACTAAATTTCCCACAGCACTGATTGGACAAGCAATGCCATGTGATCATCTGCAGCCAGTGATGGCCAAGTGGGCGTGTAATAACTAATTGACATGTTGAGTGGGCTGTGTCTAAACCTCCATGGCAGAGGCTCCGTCGAACCCCTGAGACCGATTCACCGAACCCCCGTGGTCGATCGAACCCAGGTTAAGAACCACTAGTGTCGAGTATAAAACAAGAATTGGACGTCAAAAAATGTGAATTGAAAGGAAACTTTGCTTCCTCTACAGAAAGAGCATGAAAAGAAGAGAGATGAGAAGAAAAAAGAGAAGGACTTAGAAAAAGCTGATCGACACAACGTAAAGGTACTGTTTGTTCATGATTGGATCATTTCAGTCCAACTTAGAAGTAATCGCACAGTGAGTTTGCTTTTTGGCAAGGAAAACCATCAGAAACCCTTTTCAAATAAAACACTCAGCTTGTGATTGAAATGTAGATTCTCAGTTTTAATTGACTGATTTTCCCATTTGGGAGTCACGCCCATTTTATTTCCAATATGTCCATTGTCAGGGTCTATTATTTTAATGTAATTCTAAGTTTGCCTTACGACTGTTTGTCTGGTAATATGAGTCTACAATCGAGATGTCGCTATTTGAGTATTTTTTTAATTAATTATCCTACCCATTTTTCGATCAATTAAATTTATTTGCATTTCATTGTATTGCAAAATCAAATGTTATCCGATTACTCTTTATCAACCATAACCATGAAGCTAGATCACACACGAGTAATCTTGTCAATCAAATTGCTTGGTTGGAACTGTTATATCATACAATTGCCATATAATGAAAATGGCGGGTGTCGTATTCAAAAAAAAAAATAAAGCACTTGGCTTTATTCCAGAAAAAAACTAAACACATAGCCATTTCATGCATTTATGTCTAAATTTAAATGACATTAGAGAAACAAAAAATAACAATAATGATACAGTACTGACAGTTTATTGTGGAACAGAGAAGCATATCATATCAACTCACATTCAATTTACTGAAAAAAAGACAACCAATATATATATATAACATTTAATTTTTTAATTTTTTTCTTTTTTAAGTGGAGTGGTTACAAGGCTTGAGAAACTGTCGCTGCTGATGGGCCTGGCTCCGTAGCTCGCAGAGCGACCGCCTCTCCTACTAGAAATAAAAAATGATCTTGTTGTGACTGAATCACAGTTAGGCTTGTGTTGCTAGTTTTGGCTCGTCCATTTGCCGTTAGCTTTAAAGTTCATAACAGCGGCAGCAGGACTGTGGGCCTGGCAGCAACAAAAAAAGGGAAGCGGCATAAAGAGAAATTTCATTGCCAGACTATTATGTCGTATAATGTACGGACGCCAACTCTTTGCTAAGGGTAACTTTATTTGTGTAGGTGTCGGATACGACATCATGAAACTTTTATCACTTTGTTAGATTAGGCCTCACGGGCACATAAGTAGATAGGTGACTTGAGCTAGGCCATTGTTTCGCTGTGACCTTTTCTCCTGGTGTGGCATCTTCCTATCTACAGCCATTGAAAACAATGATGAGACCTTAGAGTCTTAAATTGTCACATGGACTAGGTAGAAATGTTTTACCCAAAATCAGACTGGTAGAATGGTCGCTTGCAAAATATGCAAATGATGTAGTACACAAGACACGACTTGCTCGTTACACAGAAACAAATGCAAGGCTCACACTAATTATACCAACAACATTCAGGGGCACGGTAAGTGGTGTTCGAATTTCTTTTTTTGAGTCTCTTTGCCAGTCCATCAAAACGGGTTAATGTGAATCCGGTCCGTGGCACAAAAATAGGTTGAGGAACGCTGACCTTAACGACATTAGCCAACAGATGCTACGTTACCCATGGCGGTGCCGTTTGTCATGCTGGAGTTCAGTAATGTTTATTTTCTGTTTAACACCCCGTACCCCACGATGTATCATAGTTGATGTGCTGCTGTGGTGCGCTGGCTCTACTTTGCATCAACCTCTTTTTGCTGTCAAATTATTCAAGTTCATTGATTATTTGTCTCAGCTATAGTCTACTGGTTATAAATGGCGGTGATTTTTTTTTTTTTTTAAATGATAAAGCCCCTATGCCACTGAGCTATGAACAATTGCAAGTGTTTTAGAAGGGAGCAAATGTTGCGTTGCCATCAGGGTTTGTTCAAGGTTGTTCACCAAACAGTCATCAGAGTTTGCCAGACGTTCAACTGTGCTTGTCTTGCCACAAGTTACGTTTGAACCTGTTCAAAATTTCGTTGCGACGATTTAAAAATAATCAATAAATAAATAACTGTCGGCAAATGTCTCGCAACCATTTGGTGAACATTTGCGACCTTGAAAGAATCCTGACGAGAAGACAAAATTCAGTACCTTTGAAAACACTCGCAATTGTTAACCCTCAAAGTTTAAACTTAAAACTTCAAGTGTGGAAAGCCATCCAAAAAAAAAAAAAACATTTTGAAGGGGGTCAAATACGTTTTCATGGCACTGTACGTACATGGGTACGTGCATACATACAATAACAACAATATTATTCGTCTTTCCAAGCAAGTGTAGCATATAAAGAGCGAATGAATGTTTCTGGGTCATGGGCATATTTCTGTGGTCAGGGAAGCAACAAGGGAGAAATTCAGCTCTCAGTTGTGTGGGTGTTGCTGCATTCTGTGTAAGTGTTAAACAGTGTCTCCATGGTGTTGCATGATCAGATGATACAGGGTGCAAAAATGTAGGCCAGGGGCGTCAATTTAATCGCGGGCCAGATTGGAGTTACAATTTCCCTCGAAGGGCCATCATAAATGTGAAACCACATCATGTTTAATCACTTTTACATTTGCAGTACACAACAAATTGATGGATAACTAGTTTTGGAATCAGAAGTCAAGAATAATAATTTGTTCGACTGTTGTTCATGTTACCATGATAACGTGACAAAAAAAATGCAATCTCAAATGCATCTCAAAATTGTTATTTATTATACATGACAATTTCAAATGTTTGTACAGCTTTTAGCTAACATCGCGGAAGTTGACATGCTGGATTTTCTTTTGCGGGCCAGACCTGGCCACTGCGCCTTGAGTTTGACACATGTAATGTTGGCTATGGTGAGCCATCTATAGTATATGTAGAGAATTCCACCGTCCTCTCCTACAAAGCATTTTTTGCTTCTTCTGACTCAATTTTATTTATTTATATTTGAATGGCAAGAGTTGCTGTCACTTTGTTCAGACACAGTGCTTTTGATGAGCCCCTTTGTGCCTCAAATTGCAACTCATTGAATAATCAGCAAATGCTAAAGTAGTGCACAGAATTATCTCAATCAAGAGATGAGACATTGCCTACCGCAATTTCATGATTATAAATACAAATTTGGTGTTGCCCGCTACACTATTTCTTGTTTTTACATAATTTGTTGCTTGGCAGTCCTAAAGTTGCGGCATTACTATTAGCCAGGTTTTTAGTTTTTTTTTCTGGTGAGAATTATGTCTTATTTTTACTGCCACAAGCTGGCTTCCAGTCCAGGGTGTACACCACCTCTCACCCAAAGCTAGCTGGGATAGGCTCCACCACACCTATAAAATGTAAATTGAATAGAAAATGGACAGACATATGAATGGATGGATAATGGATAGTCATTTGTAAATTTTGGCAAAAAAACTTACAAAACTTACTGTACAAAAAAATTGTACAGCAAAATATAGTGTTCATGAGCAGTATGTTTTTGAAGTCAGTTGTAGCAGGACTCTCCTTCGCGCTATTTTTGTAGACAGTGCATGTGCACTTGAGCCTAAAAACTCTTGAAAGCTGATCTGTGTTTCAAGGCTAGCTGTGATTGGATTAGCCAGAACTGGAGAGGCAGATCCATCACCATCTTAAAAATATCATGAGCACTTCCAAATTTGAGACCATGGTCTTTAGTTGGAAAAGGGTGGAGGGTCCCCTTTGGATCACAGATGAGATTGTGCCCTAAGTGAAGGAATTTAAATATCTTGGGGTCTTGTGAGAAATCTGTTTATAATTCATGCCTACGCGGCCTGACTGGTTAGCTTGTCAGCCTCACAGCACAGAGGTGCGGGGTTAGATTCCGGACTTCCTGTGTGGAATTTGCATGTTCTTCCCATGCCTGTGTGGGTTTTCTCTGGGTAATCTGGTTTCCTCCCACATCCCAAAAACATGCATGGCAGGCTGATTGAACACTCTAGATCGGGGGTCGGCAACCCGCGGCTCCAGAGCCGAGTGCGGCTCTTTAGCGCCACCCTAGTGGCTCCGTGGAGCTTTTTCAAAAATGTTTGAAAATGGAAAAATATGGGGGATGGAAATATATTTTTGTTTTAATGTGGTTTCTGTCAGAGTAAAAACATGACACAAACATTATTAACGTTTTCCAATGCTGTAAAAATGTGTAGAATAAATATTAAATTTCAACATTTCTGTCGACGAAGATTTGCGTCATAGCTTGCGACACACGTTTTTATTAGCAGGATGGAATGCCAGGCAGCTGACTGTTGTTAAAAAAAAATGGCGTTTTATGTACAATTCACCGAGGGTACTGCCAAAGAATGGGAATCCGGAGGGCCGAGAGAAGCATTTTTAAACAGTTCACGTGAGCTACGATAGTTAACGCGCTGCAAAAGTGCGTCCCATGACTCGATTATCTTTGCGGCCGTTATGACTGTCGCTCATTATGGCATGCGTGTGTGCGGTAACGGGTAGATAGCGGGAGGTTGGTTGATCGAAAAGTAGATATTCCGTCCAAAAAGGTTTGGCACCCCTGCTCTACAGGATGCACCGCAGGGAAAAAAACCATTTAATATCAAGGCTTATCGTGTATTTATAGCCAACTTCGTCATTTTCATAGTAGGCTAATATAGCTAATATCGGTATATACAGCATGTGTTGCCTTCATTGTAATGATTATATAAGACTTTTAAGTTTTTGCGGCTCCAGACATGTTTGGTTTTTGTTTTTTTGGTTCTATATGGCTCTTTCAACATTTTGGGTTGTCGACCCCTGCTCTAGATTGTCCCTAGCGCGAATGGTTGTTCGCCGATGTGTGCCCTGTGATTGGCTGGCGACTAGTTCAGGGTGTCCCCCGCCCACTGCCCCAAGATGGCTGGGATAGGCTCCAGCACACCCCGCGACTCTTGTGAGGATAGGCGGATCAGAAAATGGATAATTCATTCCATGGAAATACATTGGGTGAGTGGGGTGATATTATTTCATGCATTATATATTTTTAAAATTACTGGATTGGATTTTGGATTGGATTGGATACAACTTTATTGTCAAATGTGCTGTATGTGTAACATACTGGAATGACTAATCTGTAT